ATAAGCTTGGAAAAGACTAATAAAAACTATGTCCATTTGAAGATGATATAATAGTGTGTCTGGAAATCTTCAGAGAATTAATCATAAAACAAATTGAAACAAAAAGAATTTAGCAACTGCAGAATATAAAAATATGCAAAATCAACAGGCTTCAAATACATAACTAAGCCTAGCTGGAAAATAAAATGAAAGAGAAAAACCCTATTTAGAATGGCAACAAAAAAGAAAATACTTAGGAATATACTTAAGAAATGTGAAAAATCTATGTGAAGAAAATGACAAAACTGAAAAAACACAAAAGTATGCTTGAGCAAGTGGAAAGGTATCCTTTGATCTTGGATGGGATGTTTCATCATCAAGAGATCAGTTCCCCCCAAGATAATTTATAAATTTAATTCAATCTCAATTTTAAAAATAACACAAGATATTATTTTTCTGGAATTAGGAAAGTTGAAACTAAATTTAGAGGTCAAGTCGATTTGTCATCTTGGTACAAAACTATGACTTGAAGAAGAAAGCTGTACACGGGCGTTTCTCTAACAGATGAACTCAGGGCCTTATCATCGCATTGAGTCAGTCCTGCTCACCTCTAGCTGCCTGGCTGCCATTTGGAATGAGGATTCAGGGTTGCTAAATCATCTGGTTTCCAAATGAAGCTGAAAGTCTCAATTTGCATGTGACATTTTATAGTCTATGTTGGCAACTAAGTTAAATTAAAAATAAAATGCAGTTTGGGCAAAATCAAATATATCTTGCAAGTCTTTTCTAGCCCAAAGGTCTTTGACCTTTCTGGGTTTGCATACTTTCCCGACAAGGGTCAGATAGTAAATATGTTAGGCTTTATAGGCCACATACAGTCTCTGTCTTATATTTCTGTATATTTTTTACATCATTGAAAAATGTAAAAAGACAGTAAAAAATAGGCCTTGAATTTGGCACTCAGGGAGGTTGTATGCTAATCTTTGTTAATAGAGATAATTAACCTTGAGATTCAACAATGAGTACTTTGGAAACGACAGCCACATTGCCTGACCTCTCTCTCTCACAAAAAAATCAAGCTAGGGGGCCGGCGCGGTGGCTTAAGTCTGTGATCCCAGCACTTTGGGAGGTCGAGGTGTGAGGATTGCCTGAGCCTAGCAGGTCAGGCAAGGGTTTGAGAACAGTCTGGGCAACTTGGCCAGACCTTATCTCTACAATAAATAAAAAAATTAGCCGGGTGTGGTAGTGTGCACCTGTAGTTCCAACTACTTGGAAGGCTAAGGTGGAAAGATTGCCTGAGCCTAGCAGGTCAACGCTCGGGTGGCCATGAGCATGCCACTGTATTCCAGCCTGGGCAACAGAATGAGACTCCAATTCAAAAAAAAAAAAAAAAATCAAACTAGGATAAGTATAATATATTCTCTCACAGCAATGGGTCATTCAATTGTGCAGTGTATTTTCTCCCTGGCAATATGAACAATGTTAGGAAGTATCCTGAAGGTAGTTTATGTATCATTTTGAAATGTTCCACTGTCTGTCACATTTTTTTTTTTTGAGTTGGAGTCTCACTCTGTCGCCCAGACTGGAGTGCAGTGGCCGCTTCCGGCCACCGCAGCCTCAGCCTGCTGGGCTCCGGCGATCCTTCCGCCTCGCTTTCCAAGTAGCCGGAATTACAGGCATGCGCTACCACGCCCGGCTGATTTTTTGATTTATTGTAGAGATGAGGTCTCGCTGCCCAGGCGGGTCTTGAACCCGCGGGCTCAGGCAATCCACTCACCTCGGCCTCCCAAAGGAGCGGGATTACAGGCTAAGCCACCGAGTCCAGCAGTCTGTCACATTTTAACTATGCTTGTAAATGATACCATATCAGGCTGAAAAGTGTTTTCTAGATACTTTACTTCAGTCAGGTTGTCAAAAAACAGTACTATCAGATTTACAGTTTAGGCTTTTCTGCTCATGAATTTTGAGGGTAGTTTTTTTCTTTGCTGCCAGCTGTACTCATTTTCTTTCCTTCTCCCTTCCCTTCCCTTCCCCACTCCCTCTCGCCTCCTGACTTAGCCTTCTGAGTAGCTAAGACAATTGTGTACCATGCCGGTTTCCTGGGCTTCTTAATCAGTATCTCTAATTTTGGGCAAGAGCAAACTCACAAAAAGCCCCTAAAATGAACAACAGTGATATACAGAAACAGACAAGTCAACTGCATCTTTTAGGGATCATTAGACAATGGCTGTTTGTTTGTTAACATACATACCTTCTTTCTAAACAAGGAAGCATCTTTTCTTTTTGAGTTGGGGTCTCAGTCTGTCACCAAAGCAAAAAATCAGGACAAAATCATCATCGCTCACGAGATCCTTGACCTCTTGGGCTGGGACTACAGGTGTGTGCCACCACATCTGGCTAATTATTTTTTTTGTAGAGATGTGGTTTCACTATGTTGCCCAGACACCTGCCTTGGCCTCTCCAAATGCTGGGATTACAGGCATGAGCCAATGTGCCTGGTCTCTTTTCTAACAAACAGCTAATTGGGTCTGAGAACTTTTGGAATTTCTACAATTAGTGTTTTAGGAAAAGGCTTATGATGGATTTCTATGTTTTGTCATTTGTCTCTTACATCAAATACTTTCCCTTTTAAAAGTTATTGCCCTAAGGCAACATAAACTGGCCTTGAGAACAAAGACCAATTTATGCCACCACCTCCAGGAAATGATTAAGTAAGCCCAAGCAACTCCAAGCAAAGGCCAGACTGACTGATAAATGGTTTGGATGACATCTGTGTCATTTCAGACATATGGAGTATTTCACTCAAGTTACTTAGAAGAATATCAAAATTGGACATTGTAAAAAATACTAAGGCATGTGTGTAAAGGATATTACAGTTTTTTTTTCCTTTCAATTTGTTTTGGAGTGCCTGCCAATACTCCAAATGGCCAAGCTGACCTGGAAAAAGACATATACATGGGATACATTATTCTTAACCTTTTTTTTGGGAAAAATAATCCCAGAATTCTACATAGGTGGTGAAGTATACTAAACAAACACAAACGTACTCTTGCATCGCATAACAGTCTCTCAGTAAAAAACAGGCTGAATAGATGATAGTGGCCCCATAAGATTATGATGGAACTGAAAGACTCCTACTGCCTAGTAACTTCATAGCCATAGTGATATCATAGCACTCGTGTGTGGTGATGCTGATGTCAACAGATCTACTGCACTACCAGTTGTTTAAAGGCATAGCACATACACGCATGTGCCATACATATTACCTGACAATAAGTGATTGTTACTGGCTTATGTATTAAAGTTTATAAAGGGCTGGGCTCGGGCCTCCTAGCACTTTGGGAGGCCGAGATGAGTGGATTGCCTGAGCCTGTGGGTCCGAGACCAGAACGGGCAACTTGGCGAGACCTCATCTCTACAATAAATAAAAAATTAGCCGGGCCTGGTAGCACGCGCCTGTAGTTCCAGTTACTTGGAAGGCTGAGGTGGAAAGATCGGCCAGCCCAGCATGATGATGCTGGGGGGGCCGTGAGCATGCCACTGAATTCCAGTCTGGGCGATGAAGTGAGACTCTGACTCAAAAATAAAAATAAATTTAGAGTAGCTTGAGTGTGTAGTGTTTATAAAGTCTCCAGTAGTATACAGTGATGCACGAGGCCTTCACATTCACTTACCACTCACTCACAGATTCCCCCAGAGCACCCTCCAGGCCTGCAGGCTCCATTCATGACACGTGCCCTAGACAGGTGAACCATTTTTATCTTTCAGTCTTTTCACTGTACCTTTTTAATGTTTAGATAAACGAACACTTCCCATTGTGTTTTAGTTGCCAACAGTAATCAGTAGGACACTGTGCTGTACAGGCATGCAGCCCAGAAGCAATGGGCCATCCCACACAGCCTAGGTGTGTAGTAGCCAGTAGCACCTAGGTTTGTGGAAGGGCACTCTATGATGTTTGACGATGAAACTGCTTAATGACTCACTTTTCAGAACAAATTCCTGTTGATATGTGATGCATAATTGTATATCATCTTATAAAAAGTATATACACCAGGACAAAGGGCCATGTGCTTGTTCCTTCCAGTAAAAAGGTATCAAAACTCAAAGGAAAAAAGCAGCCCTTTGCACTCGGAGACATTTTGAGCAGTACTAGCAACTCAATCACACTTTTTAAAGAATACTGAAAAACGAATCACTTCATATTAAATAGAATAGTGTTGGAACCAATTATTTTAATGTAATGATATTTGGCTTATGAAATTTTGTACATGGAGGAACTTATTTATCACAAAAAAAATCCAAATTTTGTATCTTCTATTTTTTAACATGTGGTAACTTGTGGAACAGTCACTGACATGCATTGCAGGTTTATTGATACATGTTGTGCAACAGTAATTTGATGTCTTTCACCTGATGTTTTTCTATTCCGGTAAACAATGCAGTCTCATTTTCTTCTTCCCACAGTATGTAATTTATTGTCCAGTCTGTTGTTCAAAGATGATATGGAAGGACACACTTGTGAGTTCTGAAAACCACTTCTCAACTGATCAATCGTATCTCAGTATATATTCCATCTCTTTGTTTGCTTTTTCATGCAACTTGAATGGAAAACTTCAAGGAAACATACATTTTTAAAATTTGCACTTGCATAAGTTTGTCCTAAATAATCATCAGCAATCTCTTTATTACCTTTGAGAGGGGACATCTAAGTGCAAAGGGGTAGCTTCCATGTCTGAGGAATTACTACTTAACTCTACATTTGAGGATCACCAACTTTCTGTATTCGTCTGTGGGAAATTTGCAGAGATGATACAGTATACGGGGTATCAATTACTACTGGGAAATAGTAAAGTAGCCATTAGGGTTTTAAAGGTTATGCCTAAGCATTTACGTGTATATGCATGTGTATGACAGAGCCTTCAAATGTACCCTATTGAATATTTAAGTGAAACTAAAAAATATGATCATGTCATGGTTTTGATATTTAAAAAATAATTTGTAAACCTGATTTGACTGAGGTAATGGTTTCAATTGCACCATCTGACTTTGATGAGCACTGTTGGAATATCATTAACATCTTGCTTCCAGTCTACCAAAAAAAGGGTGAAGAACATCAGCATTTATACTTTATTGAAAACTTAAAAAATGATAAACATAGTTACAGATACATGACAATTCAGTATATTTGCCTGAATAATATTTAAAAATTGACATATTCACAAGCTCATAGATCTTCCATCATCATCAAAGATTTTAGTCTATGTAGTCAAAGTCTTCTGGAATTCCAAAATTTTTATCAATCTTATTTTCTTCAAACCCAAATTTTCTTTTGGCCCAAGATTTTATTGCAAATATGTTATCTATAAAGAAAATTGAAAAATACTTTTGAGAATTAAAAATGTAATTATAAAACATTTCAAGATAAGTATCTTCATTGCTTTTTTACTCCCTTCTATTAACTCTCAGATGTACCAAAACAAGGAGTCTTCTGTATTTTCAAGAGTAATGGCAACTACTTACAGAAAAAAAACACTGTATTTTAAAACTATTTTGAACAAGTTACAGATCTATTTAAAAATGCAGTAAGTTGACTGCTTCTGAACAACACCTGAGTTCATAAACAAAGACAGGGACAGCTCCATGGTGTCTTTTCTGCATTCCACAGCAGAGGCCAGGACTGCCTCTTGTTACCTCAGAAATTAGAGTTGCTACTATTCCCAAAGGAAACACATTCTCTCCAGACCCCTCTTCCTTTCCCACAGAGGGTAATGGCTTCCAGACAATCAGGTCAGTGTGAGGAAGAGGGGGTGGGGAAAAGAGAAAGGGGTTCTCCTCTCTAAGACTAGGACAGAAGTGTCCTCAGCATCCCCTAGGGGGGATTTAAAATGTAATGTATCACTGAAAAAAAGTGTTACACCAATTTAACAGAATTCATCCCAAGGAAATAAAAGGAATTGTGTACAAAGATCTGTGGCCAAGGATCTTCATCCTAATGCACTAACAGAAAGAAGAAAAGCAACCCCAGCCCTGATCATGGGAAAGGGCGCTCCTGCACAGGCAGCGGGGAGGTGGGATGACACCATCCAGCAGTGGTTGCACGTGGGGGTGGGAACAGGGAGAGTTTTTCTTTTCTTAATTTTACACATTTCTTTAATGAACACGTAAACAACAAAAAAAATGGTATGTGGATTTCTGGCCTACCAGAATAGTCTCTAAAATGTTAAACACTGTATTAGTAGTGATAATAAAGCCAAGGGTTAAAATAGGCTCTTCTGGAGTGTTCTGGCTGAATCACCCCTCTCCAAATGCACATTTTCAAGTCCCAATGCCCCTACTTCATAATTCGACTGTTCTGAAGATAGAATCTCTACAGAGGTGATTAAGGTAAAATGAGGTCATTAGGGTGGATCTCAATCCAATCTGACTGGTGGCTTTAGAAGAAAACATCCGGACATACTGAGAGACACAGAGGAAAGATTATGGGAGGACACAGAAGTCAGACGTCTGCAAGCCATAGAGCACTCAGAAGAAACCAAATCTACCAACACCTAGATTTTGAACTTTGAGTTTCCAGAATGGTAAGAAAATACATTTCTGTTGTTAAGCCACTCTGTGGCAATTTGTCCTGGCATCCCTAGCAAATTAACACATGAAGTTCAATCACTTTTTAAAATATTGTTTCTATGGAAGTTTAATTTAAAGTATCAAATAATGATAAATTTCTGGAATGCAGTCTATTTCTAAGAATACTACTGAATCAAATAGAATATGTCTTCATGTGTTTCAACTAAAGTGTTATGGAATGTCAGGATATAGTCAAATGATCTTTACTCTTTTTAACAATCCAAAGTAAATACTTGTTTTTCATAACAACCTGACAGAGAATGTTAAAATAACAGCACGAGGTACTCCAGGATAATCTGTTTTACCAGAATCTGCACAACCAATACATTCTTGTCAATCACAAACAGTCATAGGGTCTGCGGCTGCATGAGACAAGTAGTAAGTATATTACAGGTATTACACAATATAAAGAGCCTAAAAAATGTAATTGTAAAACATTTCGAGATAAGTATCATCATTGTTCTTTTACTTCCCTCTATTAACTCTCAGATATATCAAAACAAGGAGTCTTCTGTATTTTCAAGAGTAATGGCAACTACCTATAGAAAAAACATTGTATTTTAAAACTATTTTGAACAAGTTAACAGATCTCCCATTAAAAAAATTTCTCCCTTCTTATGATAAGAAGAGGAGAAAGAAAGAAGGAAAAAATCAGTAATTTGAGAGAGAAAAAAAATCATTAATTAATTCCTAAACAACTCCAAAGTGACATGTGTGTTACAGAGAGAAAAGACCAAGTATTATGTGGCTAGCTTCTAGGACAGGCTTCATGAACACAGAAAGGTTTCTAGGAAATCAGAGAGCAGAGGCAACACTAGGAAACTTGCAGGGACCAGACTTCTGACGTGGATCAGAAGAGAAAAGAGTGAGGCACCAGGATAAGGCTGTGAACAGCCTCTCTAGGATGGATTTCCTGGTTCACATGAGAAAATCAAGCCATTTTATTACAAATGTGTAGAGATTAAAAACTAAAGAACAAACAAAAACCTCTCAGCAACAATGCCTACTTAAGAGACCAATTCAAAGAAGACTAATTAAACATATCCCTGGGCCACTGATATCTGCCTTCAAGATAATGTCACTCACAATCTTGACAGTTCATTCCCTGCCAAAAAATTTGTTATGTAGGAATATTTATAAATGAATAAGAATAATTTTAAAAATTTAAAGCAACAGCCTTAAGACAGGTAGAATTCCTGTCAATTTATATGGTAGCATACCCAAGATACAAAAAGAAATAGGATGGGTAGTATCATTGGTAATGAGTCTGTGTTAGCACCTCACAGCATCCATTCCTCCTCACTCATTAAGATGTCTCTATATGTATTCACAAAAACTTCTCTAACACCTTATTAAGCAAGGTGTTAGAGAACTTAATTTGCTAGACCATATTTAAAGCATATTTACTGTCACAAAATATTAAGTTGTGTTATTTCTGTATTTATACTATGAGGTAATTTCTCATTCTATAAATCTGAGATACTGAATTATTGGCATAGTAAATATTTCAATTCTAGATAAATGCTAAGAATTTTTTTAATTAAAAAGAAAGCAAACCCTCACTAATAGCTATACGATCGTTTTGTTTTTGTTTTTTGAGTCAGGGTCTCACTGTCATCCAGGCTGGAGTGCAGTGGCACGCTGCTCATTGTCACTGCAGCCTTGACCTGCTGGGCTCAGGCGATACTTCCACCTCAGCCTTTCAGGTAGCTGGAACCACAGGCATGTGCCACCATGCTCAGCTAATTGTTTGATTTACTGTAGAGACGAGGTCTCGCTATGTTGCTCAGACTGGTCTTGAACCCCTGAGCTCAGGCAATCCTCTCACTGCCTCTCAAAGTGCTGGGATCACAGGCTTGAATCACTGCACCCAGCCTATATGATAGTTTTTAGTTAATGTTTGCTTTTGTTTGTTGTGAAGACAAGAACATTTTCTGAGGTGTAATTGGCTTCATCTCTTTTTTTTTTTTTTGAGTTGGAGTCTCACTCTGTCGCCCAGACTGGAGTGCAGTGGCCGCTTCTGGCCACCGCAGCCTCGACCTGCTGGGGCTCCGGCGATCCTTCCGCCTCAGCCTTCCAAGTAGCTGGAATTACAGGCATGCGCTACCACGCCCGGCTGATTTTTTGATTTATTGTAGAGATGAGGTCTCGATGCCCAGGCAGGTCTCGAACCCGCGGGCTCAGGCAATCCACTCACCTCAGCCTCCCAAAGGCGCGGGTGGCTTCATCTCTTATCTCCATCTTTTCATAACACATGTTTATCTGGAAAGGAGTAAGCTATAGCTTCAAATGGAAATATGGTTCCTAACAGATGTTTCTGCTGTTCTAAAAATATCTTCCTTTCACATGAGTTTAAAAGTCCCAGGTTCTTTCGCAGTTAATAACTTGGGGGAAAAAAGTTGTTCCAACTGTTTTTTTAATTATAATTTTGGGAGTTTATGATCAATTGGAAAACATGAAAGGATTTTTTAAGAGGGGGAAAAGGAAAAGGGGAGGAATTTATCTGTGTGTCTAACATTGCGCTGACGGGCTTGCCACCTATCTTATTCAATCTTCCCAGAATGTGAGGTAGATATTATTTATGCACATAGAAAAGATGAGGAAGCAGGTTCAGAAAAGTTCAAGAGGACACACAGCAAACAAGGAGCATGGCTTGGACTCCTTTCAAAGTCAAGTTCCTTTCACCAAACACACATGCTGCCTGTTCCTACCATTTGCTGAGCCGCTTTGAAGACTATGGGGGAAATCACCTTGTGACTATTGGGGGAAATCATCTTGGACTCTCATCTTGTTTTTGACTTAAACAGTCATTTACTTCTTTTGTTGTGCTCCATATTTCTTTCTAATACCAAACAATTTCACTGTATTTATTAGCTATTTATACTTCAGGGTACTAGCATTTCATTACTCTCTTTTCTATTTTTTAAAATTTTTATTTAAATTTTTATTTTTTTGAGTCAGAGTCTCACTCTGTTGCCCAGGTTGGAGTCCAGCAGCACACTCATGGCCACCGCAGCTTCGACCTGCTGGGCTCAGGTGATCCTTCCACCTCAGCCTTTGAGGTAGCTGGAACTACAGGAACATGCTATCATACTTGCCTAATTTTTTTATTTATTGTAGAAATAGTATCTCACTAAGTTGCCCAGGCTGGTCTCGAGCCCCTGGGTTCACACAATCCTCTTGTCTCAGCCTTCCAAAGTGCTGGGATTACAGGCTTGAGCCACCGCTCCCAGTCTCTATTTCTTTTTTTCCTGAGTTGGAGACTCATTCTGTCACCCAGGCTACAGTACAGTGGCAAGCTCACAGTCACCATAGCCTTGTTGCTGGACTCAGGAGATCCTTTCATCTCAGCCTCTCAAGTAGCTGGAACTACACATCACCACAACTTGCTAATTTTTTTTTTTTTTTGTAGAGATGCGGTCTCACCAAGTTGTCCACGCTTGTCTTGAACCCCTGGGCCCAGGCAATCCTCTCGTCTCTGCCTCCCAAAGTGCTGGGATTACAGGCATGAGCCATTGCACCAGGCTCATTATTCTCTTTTCTTCAATGTTAGTTTGCTGTTGTTTGTTTTTTTTTTTTGAGTTGGAGTCTCACTCTGTCGCCCAGACTGGAGAGCAGTGGCCGCTCCCGGCCACCACAGCCTCGACCTGCTGGGCTCTGGCGATCCTTCCGCCTCAGCCTTCCAAGTAGCTGGAATTACAGGCACACGCTACCACGCCCAGCTGATTTTTTGATTTATTGTAGAGATGAGGTCTCACTGCCCAGGCAGGTCTCGAACCCGCGGGCCCAGGCAATCCACTCACCTCAGCCTCCCAAAGGTGCGGGATTACAGGCTGAGCCACCGAGCCTGGCTAGTTTGCTGTTTTACTTTCCTCTATTCTTATCACTAAAACCTTACCTATTTCGGAAATAACCTAATAAATAAGATTGCAATTTCATAAAAGCCAAATGCCAATTGCATTGATTTTACCAATCTATTTAATTCTAAAATAGATTACAAGAAAATAATTCTTAAACTTTTTGTAAAACATAGAGTCCTGTGTGTTTTACATAAGTTAGGGAAACCTGGTTCAAATTCTGTTTTTCCAGTGATTAGTTACCTTTGACTAAATGTAGTCACTTTAAGATTTTTATATCTCTGCACAACATAATCTTATTCATATTCTCCCACAGAAACATAATGAGGATGAACAATACATGTGAAGGCAGTATAGACTCGTTAACAGGATGGAAAAGTTCAATTACCATTATTTCATAACTAGATATCGGAAAAACTGAAATTTTCTGATAGTTTTTAACAATATTAATCATACTTGTATATAATTCACAGCAGTTACTATTAACTTTCTCCTAGGCACTAATAGATAATGCCTTATTAATTCCCACTTCTTGAAATAACTCTGGTATAGACCAGAAGATGTATCCTTTGACAAATGGATTAATAAGGCATTGATGTGAAAGCAGGCTTACAGAGAGGATAGTACCGTGTAGTGGGTAAGAGCCTGAACTCTGGGATCAGAAAGGTGGGTTCTAATTCCTGTTCTGCTGCCTGTGACTCCTGAGAGCCTTCGTTTTGTCTTATAAGTTAGGGATAATAATTATACCTGCCTCACAAGATTATTTTGGAGCTAAAGTGAGAATGCACCATAGATATTCATTAAAAGAACTGGCATACAGTCAGCCCTCAACAATCATTAACTATTATTGTTATTAGCAAGAAGGCAAATCTTTAGAATTCCAATAAATTCTTAAAGGTATGTCTTATAATAATATATTTGCAAGTTATATGATTAGCCCAAGTAACTTATCTTAGGAAGAGTTGCAGAACAATTACAATGGAAGCAATCACTGGTTTTACTAAAGTAACTTTAAAAATAAAATTTTTCTGAGTTGAGGTCTCACTGTGTTGCCCAGACTGGAGTGCAGTGGCATGATCATGGTTCACCCACAGTCTTAAACTCCTGGGCTCAAGCAAACCTCCCTCCCTATTTTCCTGAGTATCTGTGACTACAGGTGCCTGCCACCACACCCAGCTAATTGTTTTTTTGTTTGTAGAGATGAGGTTTTGCTAGGTTGCCTAGGCTGATCTCAAGCAATCCTCTCACCTTGGCCTCCCAAAGTACTGGGATCGCAGGCATGAGCCACAGGCCCAGCCACAAAAATCTTACCTATAAGTACAGTATAAGTACTGTACAAAATGATTCATAATAACATTATAAAAAATAATCTTACCTTATGTAACTAAAATGATTTAATACATAAAAACTTGAGTAATGCAAATGTTTCCTGAACAAAGCTAGCACAAAGGTATTTGAATTTCACATCAGAGTAAGTGTGGAAAAAGTTTAACTATAGTTTGCCAGTTTTACTATAATACATACCAGTCCATCTGTTAGCAGCTTCTTTGGCTACTTTATTTGCTTGACCTGAGGAAAAAAAAATACACACACACACATATAAATTATATATCTGTATATATAAAACTACATATATAATTATATTTATGTACGGTAGATTTACATTTTTCATATGAACACATTTTTATAAACTATATGCATATATAATATGGCTATTTAAGCTGGGCATGGTACCTCATGTCTGTAATCCTAGCACTTAGGGAGGCTGAGGTGGGAGCCTGAGCCTAGGTGTTCGAGACCAACCTGGGCAACATAGCAAGACCTAGTCTCTACAATAAATTTAAAAAAATTAGCTGAACATGGTGGCATGCCTCTGAAGTCCCAGCTTCTTGGAAGACTGAGGTGGAAGGATAGCCTGAACCCAGCAGGTTGAGGACGTGATATCCATGAGCATGCCACTGCAGTTAAGCCTGGGCACAGAATGAGACTCTGACTCAATAAATAAATAAATAAATAGGTTATTTTTAAAAGCTCAAATACTAACAACACATTGTATCTTACACACCTGCTCATATTCCCAAGGAAGTCTGAGATAGTTGCAGTTCCATTAACTATTAATAGAAAGTCAATGTGAACAGTTTTCCTTTCTTAAATGCTCGTCATCATTGTACTTGTTCCTTTAAAGACAACATGTAAGTTTGCTTATTTATTTATTTGAGATGGGGTCTTACTCTGTCACCCAGACTAGAGTGCATTGGTAAGGTTACCATAGCTCAACACAGTCTGGAAAGAGTTCAAGTGATCCTCCTGCCTCAGTCTCTTGAGTACTTGAGACTACAGGTGCAAGCCACTGTGCCTAGCTAATGACAACAAATATGTTTAAATGTGTTTCTCAAACAACTTAGCACACCAAATAAAATAATTTAAATTTAATGGTAAGAATTTTACTGTATATACATTATTAGACCACAATAAACCTGCCCTTAAAAATTTTTAGTGGTAAGAAAGTAGCTCCTGCCAGGCGTGGTGGCTCATGCCTGCAATCCTAGCACTTTGGGAGGCGGAGGCAAGAGGATTGCCTGTGTCTAGGGGTTCGAGACCAGCCTGGGCAAGTTGGCAAGACCTTGTCTCTATAATAAATAAAATAATTTCCTGGGCGTGGTGGCACGCATCTGTAGTTCCAGCTACTTGGAAGGCTGAAGTGGAAGGATCGCCTGAGCCTAGCAGGTCGAGGCTGTGGTGGCTATGAGTGTGCCACTGAACTCCAGCCTCAGAGTGAGACTACACACACACACACACACACACACACACACACACACACACACACATACACACACACAGAAAGTAGCTCCACAGGAGGAAATACTTTTACTATATATTTAAATACACATAATGCTATTAAATATATCTTTATGCATGTCTTTCAAGTTAATCAACAAAACACAAGAATGCCATGATCAAATGGGTCTTAATATTACTTATAATGATGGGATTTTAAAATTGAAAGATAGCCAGGCTCGGTGGCTCAGCCTGTAATCCCGCTCCTTTGGGAGGCTGAGGTGAGTGGATTGCCTGAGCCCGTGGGTTCAAGACCCGCCTGGGCAACTTGGCGAGACCTCATCTCTACAATAAATCAAAAATTAGCTGGGCGTGGTAACGTGCGCCTGTAGTTACGGCTGCTTGGAAGGATCGCCGGAGCCCAGCAGGTTGAGGCTGCGGTGGCCGGGAGTGGCCATTGCACTCCAGTCTGGGTGACAGAGTGAGACTCCAACTCAAAATAAATAAATAAATAAATAAATAAATAAAATAAAATAGAAAGATAATTTACACACCACAGAATTCATAATATTAAAGTCTATAATTCAATTATAATTATAATTATATAATAATTTTTATTACATTCACAAGTTGTACAACCATCACCACTACCTAATTCCAACATATATTTTTTAGTTGGGATTCTCACTCTGTCACCCAGACTAGAGTACAATGGCAAGACCGTGGCTCACCAGAGCCTTGACTCCTGCGCTCAGGCCATCCTTCCACATCGTCTTCTGAGTAGCTGGGACTACAAGCATGAACAAAGACACCTGGCTACTTAAAAAAATTTTTTTTGTAGAGACGAAATCTCGCTATGTTGCCTAGGCTGGGGTTTGGAACTCCTGGGCTCAAGTGGTCCTCCCACCTTGGCCTCACAGATGTGAGCCACTGTGCCCAGCCCAGATGTATTTTTATAATCACTGAAAAGAAAACCTTGTATCAATTAATAGTCACTCCATAATCCCCCTCCTTCCATCCCCTGGCAGCCACTAATCTAGTATACTTTCTATCTCTAGAGATTTCTCTTTTGTGGATATTTTATATGAATGAAACATAAAATATGTGGTCTTTTGGGTCTGGCTTCTTTCATTTGGCACAATGTCCTCAAGGCTCATTCATTTATAAATACCACCTTCTTTTTTGTGCTTAATATGATTCAACAACTTGATAGACATTTGGGTTGTTTTTGCAGTAATAATTCAATATAGATAGATATAAATATAGATCCTAGGTATGTGTGTGTACATATATATATACGTATATATATGTGCATATATGTGTGTGTGTGTGTGTGTGTGTGTGGGATATAACATTTTGGCGAACAGAAAAACACTTTTTCTTTTTTTTTTTTTTTTTTTTTTTGAGTTGGAGTCTCACTCTGTCACCCAGACTGGAATGCAGAGGCTGCGCCCGGC